AAATGAAAATGTCAGGGGTGCCTGGATGGTTCAGTCCGTTAAGCTTCCGACTCTTGGTTTTGGCTCAGGTCAGGACCTCAGGGTTCAAGAGGTCAAGCCCAGAGTCAGGTTCTGCACTGACAGCGTGGAGCCAGCTTGGGATGCTCTCTCCCTCTCTCTCTCAGCCCCTCCCCTGCTCGTTCGCTCTCTCTCTCTCTAAATAAACTTTAAAAAATTTTTAAATGAAAATGTCAAAAAGAACAAGTGTTTAAAAAGTTCATCATTTTTGTGCTCCTTCTGAAATAATGAAAAATAACCCTATGCTTCAGAAGCCTCAACATTGCAAGCCACATTTTCATGAAGTGTTTATGGGATTACCAAGGGGCTGAAAGAAGTAGAACTAGGACTGGGCCCTGGGGCATACCAATAGTAGGGAGTCATCCAGGAAAAGATGGAGAACTGTCAAGGAGCCTGAGGAGTAGCGAGTGAGATAAGGGTAAAAGAGTGTGGTATGGCAAGCCAGATAGAAAAGTATTTATTGTAAGTTGTTTTAATTCCACTATCTATAAAAGATTAAATGAATGTCATCATTTTAATGAAATTTATCTACTTGGGAACACAATGTGTAGACAATGCCTCCTTGTAAATGAAAATGCTAGAAAGAACAAATTCCCTCCAAAGTTAATCATTTTTGTGTTCTTTATGAGCCAATGAAAAGCAATACTATAGAAGCCTCAAGGTACAAGCCACATATTCATAAGCACAGCATTTCAGTAGATGTGCGTACACACACACACACACATCCTAAGTGTGAGCGCCAGAGTTGAGGTGAGCAGGAGCCATGAAGAGCTGCTACATGGTGTTTGCGCAATGAAAGAAGTGAAAAAAAACCTCCTTCAGTAATTACTGTTGCCAGAAGCACAGCTTTAGGGTTTGAGTGTGGTTAAGGATAGAGACGGGATTGAAGCCAGGCTCTGAGGTTATTTATTGGTTCTAAAACGAAGTTCTTAAAAAAAGAAAAAAAAACAGTAATCGCATAGCTCTCTCCGGACAAACTGTCTTTGTCGATACAGGGCAGAGAGGGACTTTAGGTAAGTCAGTTCGGGCCGCCACAGCGCAGGGCGGTGGGAGCTGAAGGAGAAGCTGGGAAAGCATTACGTGAGCAACAGGGCTCAGGCCAAAGCACGGCTGAGCTTCATGCTTCCCAGGGACTTGAGAAGAGAGCAGCACTGTTTGGGTGAGGGGCATTAATTTAATGCTAAGTATAGGTGAGGCAGGATAGCCCTGTGATATTGAAGTCTCAATATCGTCAAGATGGTAAGTCTCCCTAAATTGGTCTACATATTCAAAGCAATCCATATCGAAAACCCAGCAGGCTCTTTGTTTTTCTTTTTTCTTTTTCTCTTCTTCTTCTTCTTCTTGGCAGAAATTGACAGGCTGTTTCTGAAATTTATATGGAAGTGCCAAAGCTCTAGAAGGGCCAGAACAGTTTTGAAAAATAACATAGTTAGAAGTCTTAATACTTTCCAATTTCAAAATGTACCACGAAACTACAGAAATCAAGACAGTGTGGTACTGGCTTAAGTTTGGACATGTAGATCAATGGAAAGGTGTTGAGAGTCCAAAAATATGGTCAATTGATGGTCAATTGATTTTCTACAAAGATGCTAAGGCAATTCAATAGGGAAGGGAAATAGTGCTGGGACAATTGCATATCCACATGTAAAAAGATGGAGTTAAAGCCTTCCCTCACACTATACACAAAAGTTAATTCAAAATATATCATAAGCTAAATATAAGAGCTAAAACTGTTAACCTTTAAGAAGAAAACCTAGGAGTAAATCTTTGTGAACTTGAGTTAGGTAAAGTGTTCTTAAATAATGATACCCACTGAATGATTCATGAAAGAAGAAATAAATTGGACTTAAAGTTAAAAACTTTTGCTCTGCAGAGATACCATTAAGAAAATGAAAAGACAAGCAACAGACTGGAAGAAAACGTTTGCAAATCATGTATCTGAGACAGACTTGTATCCAGAATATATAAAGAACTCTCGCAATTCAATAATAAAATAAGCAACCCAACTTAAGAATGGACGGGAATAGCTATTTTACCAAAGAAGAAATATGAATGGCTAATAAGTACATGAAAAGATGCTCAGCCTCATTAGTTATTAGAGAAATACAAATGAAAACCGCACCTACTAGAATGTCTAAAAACAAGAGACAGTATCAAGTATTGTTGAGGATGTGGAGAAACTGGAGCCCTCACACACTGCTGATAAGAACATAAAATGGTGCAGCTATCTTAGAAGAAAGTTTGGCTGCTCCACAAAATGTTAAACATAGATTTACCATAGGACTCAGCAATTGCACAACTAGATCTTTGCCAAGGGAAATGAAAACATGTTTTCATAAAAACGTGTACAGAAACGTTCATATGAGCATTATTCCCAACAAAAACTTGTACACATATGTTCATGGTATTATTCAAAATAGCCCAAAATGCAAACAACCCAAATATCCATCACCTGGTGAAGGGATTGACAAAATGTGCTATGTCCATACCATGGAATTTGCTCTGGAATAAAAAGGAATGAACAACGTGGAAGAACCTCAAAACCACTATGCTCAGCGAACAAGCCAGATGCGAAAGACTGCATATTGTATGATTTCATTTATATGAAATGTCCAGAAATTGTCTGTAGAGACAAAGCCCATTAGTGGCTGCCGGCAGCCAGAGATGGAAATGGGGATTGACTGTAAATAGATACGAGGGATTTCTTTGGGGTGGCGGAAAATTAAAAAATCTGGGTTGTGGTTGCACAGCTCTGTAAATTTACTAAAAACCATTGAATTGTATACTTCAGATGAGTGAATTTCATAGTATGCAAATTTTATCTCGAAGCTGATTCTTTTATTTTAGAGAGAGAGACAGAGACAGAGAGAGTCGAACGGGGGTGGGGCAGAGGGCGGGAGACACAGAATCTGAAGGAGACTCCATGCTCCGAGCTGTCAGCATAGAGTCCAACGTGGGGCTCGAACCCACGAACTATGAGATCACGACATGAGCTGAAGTTGGATGCTCAACGGACTAAGCCACCCAGGCACCCCTCAAAGGTGATTTTTTAAAAAGAGTATACTCGTAATTGCGTATGAATTCCAGCTCTGTTAGTTATAAACTGTGGGATTGTGGGCCCGTTATCTAATCTTTTGTGGACTCAGTTTGCTCACTTGTAAAGTGGGAATAATACCATCTACGTCGTCAGATTGTTGTGAAGGTTAAATAAAGTTAATACTTGTTGAGTCATTGCCAATATTTAACTGTACTGTAATTTTTTATGAATATTATTTTTTGTGACATTTCTACTTCCAGTGCAAGTTTCTGACAATGAAGCATATTATATTTATTATCAATGAATTTTATTTTTCATTCACATACCATAAGATTCACCCCTTTTAAACCATACAATTCACTGGTTTTTAGTATATTCACAAAACTGTGCAACCATCACCCCTAGTTCAACGTTTTTTATTGAAGTATAGTTGGCATATAATAATGAGTTTAGGTGTACAACATAGTGATTCAATATTTCTACATTTTTTTAACGTTTTTATTTATTTTTGGGACAGAGAGAGACAGAGCATGAACGGGGGAGGGGCAGAGAGAGAGGGAGACACAGAATCGGAAACAGGCTCCAGGCTCCGAGCCATCAGCCCAGAGCCTGACGCGGGGCTCGAACTCACAGACCGCGAGATCATGACCTGGCTGAAGCCGGACACTTAACCGACTGCGCCACCCAGGCGCCCCACAATATTTCTACATTTTTATCACCTCAATGGGTTTTCTTAATTGGCTGATGTAACTATTCAGAACGTAAGAGAAATTCTAAATTTGTAAACTTACAAATGTGTGAGTTCCTAAATGTAGGAACTAAATTCCTCCATTCAAACATAATACATTGTAGTCTCTACCATCACTTAACCAATGAATACATTTATTGAAATAGAACTTTCCATTTTAGGTAAACTGTTGTACCTAAAACGTATGTGATAGAATGCATATATTCCTTTTCATCTTAAGTATTCAATGAACACAGGTAATCTAGATTCTTATTCACCTCTCCTTAAATTTTTTGCTGGCTAAACATGAACACCTGTTCATGACGGAAAACTTGTAAAGTGTAGACATGAATGGAGGTAAACAATTACTCGACTTTTTGATACACCATAAAAAAAAAAAAAGGAAACTCCCAAAAGTCTTTAAATTTCAAAACACCGATTTAGTGGTAATCTTTCCATTAAGCAAGTGGGTTTTCCTGTATGAGCTTAAAAAAATAACCTCTTTGGGCGCCCTTACACTGCTGTGCAGTTTACAGCCACCACGGACCGCCTCCCAGGCCCTAGAAACCTGTGAGAACAAGTTAGGGACTTTGCTCTTGCCATCCCTGTGCCATGACCATTTCACCAAACCTCCGCGCGAGGGCGCCCTCCCCCCCCACCAGGTGACGCGTGGGGCCGTAAATGTGGCCAGCGTGGCCGTCACAGGAGAGCCGCACCCCCAGCCGATCTCGCCTTATTAAATTATGGAAATCGGTAAAGAAGGACAGCCCCACTGTCTGTCCCCACACCCCAAAGAACATTCCCAGGCTCCGGGAAACTCTTCCGGCCCTCCCCCCCGGGAACCGGAAATGGCTTCTCCCTCGCCAGCGCGCGCGGCGGTTACATCACCCGCCTAGCAAGGGGGGGCGGGGGTGTCTTATTATGGGGCTGCCCTCAGCGTTGCCTGCACAAATATGTATCAGGTCTGCGACGAATAGATTCCGAAACTTTGCCTCCTGGTTTATAGTCAGTCGGCCGGCAGGCACTGTGTAAACCCAAGCGGAGAGAAGTCCAAGCAGCGAGGCCCCGGCGGCACTGGCCAGCCTCCTTTCCCAGGCGTGGGCCCTAGTCGGCCTTCCCGCCTCCGCTTCCCCGCCCCTTACAAGGGGACCTGCGCTCGGTCAGGCAGCCACTGGTGCGACTTCCTTCCTCTCGGAGCAAGATGGCGGGGGGCGATGCTGGCGTGACTCTGGGGCAGCCGCATCTTTCTCGCCAGGATCTCGCCACCTTGGTAAGGTTTCGTGCTGCAGGGATACGGAGGGAGCTCAGAAGTGAGTGACAGAGCCTCCCGGGAGGCGTTGAGATCAGGCAGTGCCGGGATGTCGGGAGCATGCATTAGGAGGGAGCCTTGGAGTCGGGCGCCCTAAGCTGAGCTCGCGCCGCCGGCTGTACCCCGGCAAGTCTGCGAGCTGTGCATGGGGGTGTAAGATTGTGTGATTTCGAGCCCCCCGAAGGAATCGGCTGGAAAGTGATGGTGTTAAATGTCACTAAGGCTTTTGCTTCTGAAGGTCTGGGGAGGGAGTATCTACATAGTCCTTAGCCCTAATACTGTCAAGTTTGGGGGGCCTCGGGCCTTCACATCTCCCATAGTGAGCGGAGTTGTCTTCTCTAACGATGAAGGACTCTTAGGGCATCCCAGCCATCAGGACAGAAGATTGCTTTTTCAGGAAAAGCTCTTTGGAAGCTCTGTGGAGCAAATGTAAAATCAAAGGAAAGTTGTGATTGGTCTTATGTACAGCGACTTAAAATAAAAATGTTTGGTTGTAGGATGTTAGCAAGTTGACGCCACTTTCACACGAAGTTATCAGCAGGCAAGCCACGATTAATATAGGTAAGATAAGAGTAACTTGATGGGGTGCTTGGGTGGCTCTGTGGTTAAGCATCCGACTCTTGACTTCGGCTCAGGTCATGATCTAGCAGTTTGTGGGTTACAGCCCCGCATCAGGCTCTGTGCTGACAGTGCAGAGC